AAAAGGCAAAAGGGATGAGAAAGGGAATTATATAATATCAGCTTATAATAAAATCTATTTATTTATATTTAGAGAGATATAAAATATGACTATAAAATGTTAATTTTAAACCACTAGATAATGCAAACACATATTATAATATTAAAAGCATGTTATTACCTTCCCCATCTCCACTTTTCACATGCCCTTCATTATCTGCTAAAAAGTCCTCCAAGCAGCTGTATGTTCTAACCCATTCAACAGGGATTCCCAAACAGCTGCTGAATAGCAGCACGTGGCTTCCCCATCATCAGTTACATCTGCAACATGTGCCTACCAACATCTTCCTTTTTAACATCTAGAATAGTACTTGAACATCTAAATTCATTTAAATAAATCCATGATTTCATTTGATAATCTAGAACCCAAACTTCCTGCTTTACAAACTCTGTGCTTGCAACCCATTTTAAACAGGGTGATAACCATCACAACATTATTCCTAAGGAGTTTTCAAAACTATTGTTCTTGTGTTTCATGATCAATCTTCTCCTATATTCATCAGAAATATGTTGGGTTTTCCCTGTCCCATGAGAAGAGAACTCTAGAAAATTCAGAGTTGTCAGATTAAAGTAAGCACAAATGTTTTGGATTCTTAGATATGATTATTTTAGTTCTTTCTTTCCTGTATATTTTTTATAAAAATCAATAATTAATTGCAGTGGTAATACTAAGCATAATGATGAATGCAGGAAAAAAATAACCTTTTGGTACTTTCTCTAAAAGCAATATAAATCTCAATTATATGTTTTACAAATTACTCTTGAGTTTGGTGTATTTATATAAATGCAATAGAAACATATACTAAAAACATAGACATATAATCAATTTCTATTTTCTCTCCTCTTGTAAAGTTCATATCTGGTACCATGTAGAACACCATGAAATATAGTTGAACAACATTGAAATCTGAGAATTAGTTTTTTAACAGCAGCATCAAGAAAGTTCAATTTACAGTCGATTAAGATTTGATTCAAGATAATTTGTTCTTACCATATTTTATACTCACATTCCATTTCAGGTGTACTATGAGATAAATTACCATAATAATAGAATGCCAACCACATCATACATCAGAACTGGAGCAGTAGTCTTGTGTGTGAGGATTCATTGTCCTTATTCTGTGAGATATACAGGTGTTCTGCTGTAGAAATTCCTACTGCCAGTAGCCTTTAAGTTACTCGTCCCCTTGGGCATGGACTCTTAGACTTATATACATATACAGTATATACTTATATATACTGATGTAAAGCATGCATCCAGCCTCTTTTCCTGCTGTGGGATTAGGTTGTTATTCCCAATTCCCTGTGATGTGTGAGTCTACCCCTAAATAAATAATCCTCTATTATACTCAGTTCTGAGCTAGTGTGGGATTTCTTTCAAGTGTCCTTCTTCAGGGTTCCCAGTACAGAATACTCTTGTGATGAAAGCAATCACTGGAGCTTCTCATTAGTATTTAATATAAATGATTTATGACTTTTATGGGGAGATGAATCCATCTTATGGTCAATACTCCCAGAGTTATAAGAGGAAAAATTCATAAAATAAATAACAGTAAAACTACAAAGTATTTCTCCCCAGGGAAGGAACCCAGTCCCTTCAGAACACATAATCACCTTCTTCAGAAGTGGCTTGAGAATCAGAAAATCTGGTAGATTTAGTCATTCCTTAGTTTCTTCCATTTTCTTGAAATGCTCAATTTAGTTATTGGTGATGGAAAAAATTACAATAAAGTCCTCACTTCATATTTGTGTAAGCAACAACAATAGCAAAAACCAGATTACAACTCCTGTGAAATCTTGATTGTGTGTCTCCAAGAAAAAGAGGAACCTGAACAATTATATATGAGTTCATGTATACTGTTTACTTTAGTGGACTTGAAAATTATATGAATAGGTGATTTTTTTGTGGAAGAGGCTGCATAAAACAAGCTGGTTAAAGTAGATGGCACTTCAGTGTGACAGGAGAAATGTACGTATGAGTCAAAATCAATGTCTTGTAATGATAATTTTATTAGAAGAAAGGGGAACCATGCTTCTTTTAAAGTAACCATGATTACTTATATATGTAAGTTTGTTGGTCAAATTCTAGTCACTTAACTACGTATTAAACTGGTTGAATATATAAAGAAATGATAATACTTGTCTAAAAATCCCACATGTTGTTTGTAGGAAGCACTGTTTTTTTGTTAAAAAAGGAAATTTAGTATTAATTTCTTAAAATACTGCAGTGTGTATATCTCTACAGAGATGCCTTATATCAGGAAGAAGTTTTCCATTTGTCTAAACTGGAATGGACATTTAATTTTTTAAAAAATAATCAGTATTTTTTTTGTCTTTTATTTATACACATGTATGAATGCTTTTGTGTGAAGAAGTCCAGATTGAACCTTGGTTGTCTTCCTGTCTACTATAATGTTTGAGAAAGGGTCTCTTAGTAAACCAGAAACTTGCAGTTTTCAGCTAGGATGTCTGGTCAGGAACTTTCAATATCTATCTGTTTCATACCTCTGAGTGCTGGGATTGTAGTTACAAACAGTCATGCCTAGCTATGTATGAGTCTTGGGGATTTGAACTCAGGTCCTTTTGCTTTCACAGAAAATACTCTTATCCACTGAGCCATTTCTCAGGCCAATAATATTTTTATTATCATACAAAGCCAATATTTTATCATTTAACCAATAGTCCAACAATGACAATGATTTCAATCATCCTTTAGCAAAAGAAGCAAACAATTAAGCTTGCATAAAAATAGAAGTTATGAGGGCTACCATCAATTAATCAGATACATTCAAGAAAAAGAACAGACAACAACCTAATTTTCTATAGTTTCTTTTCATAAACTTTTTTTTCACACCATTAGTCAATATTTATGAAAGAGTCACCATGAGCCAGGCAGTGCAAATGTCTTGAAGACAGGAAATTGAAAGGATGTGCTTAGTGTTTTCAAAGGGTTTAAACCTTACTGCCCAAAACAAGAGCAAGAGGACTGGTTTAACCAGAGTCTATTGCCCTCAGGGAAATTTCATACTAGAACTGATCCTGTTTAGTTCCCTTCCTCCTGCCACACCCAGCACTCTTTATGAGGAACTGCTTTCTTGCAAAGAGAGATTATACATTTTATTAACTGCATTTCTTTATATGTTGTGGTGCAAAAAGGTAAACCAACTTGAACAAAGCTTTGCAGTTTGAGTTTGGCAACAACTGTTGCATTTAAAATAGTCAGGGTATAATATATTTTAGCAATATAATGTAGAAATTGGAGGTATTAGTCATGTGATGGTGGTGCATGCGCTTAAGCCCAACAACACTCAGGAGGCAGAGGCAGGCAGATCTCTGAGATCTGATCTACAGAGTGAGTTCTAGGACAGTCAAGGTTACAATAAAAACCCTATATCCCCCAAAAAGAAAGAACAGAAGGAAGGAGGGAAGAAAGGAAAAAAGGAAGGAAGGAAGGAAGGAAGGAAGGAAGGAAGGAAGGAAGGAAGGAAGGAAGGAAGGAAGAAAAGTTGGAGGTATTTCTATGCAAAGGTGAATGAGTCCTTGAATATTGGTCACTCTGTATAGGAGACATAAGCACACCTAGTAAAGGCATGAGCTACAGTGCTGGATTCCAGTCTGGTCAGTGAGTCCTAGACTTTATCCCATGCAGTCTTTTCAAATCTGTGCATCTCATCTCTCACATATTATCTGTAGATTCTTGCTCATTCTTGAAAGTCAGCATTGCCCAAAGAGGCCTCTGTGCTTGTGATTACTTGCAAAAATAGATTAAGTTTGCATACACGGACAACTGTATTGTCAATTGGCCTTTATATTTTTTTTTTGTGAAATAGGAAACTATGTCATTTGGTCAAATGAAATGGATGATGAATGTCATATGACGACAATGTCAGGAATCAAGTTGAGGGCATCTTAAAACATAAGAATGAAATTTAGAGACATTATTTGTAAAACTGACTTTAAAAGACATAGCATGATGTGTTTTTCAGTCCCACTCTGCATTAAACTGTCAGAGGGTTATAGCTGTGCCACTTAGTTAAATATCTTATAATGTTAAGACCTTCACAGATCTTTCCTGAAGTTCATAGTACAGAATTAATACACCATGCTGGAGTTCCTACATACTGATGCACATCCCTCTATAACTATGGGCTTTCCCACTATTGTTTTGTACATCAAAGTAAAGAAAAAAATCTTGGCTTCCAAAAGAACATAACCCTCATTCATTACTGAAAATGATTTCAATAACAAGCACCAAACTATAAAATACTTGTGTAGAACCCAGTTTGGCTTTAATAGTTAAATACATGCACCTGGAATGCATTTATAATAAACAGAGTGATGCTAACTAAGTAGAAGATGCTAATTCTGTTATGTAGGTAATAACATATTTCAGCACTTAACAAAGAAGATGAAGAGAAATAGAGACATTAGCACTTTGTATTTGTGGATTAGCATTTCCCATCTATGGCTTACACAGACTGGACATATTCATAAGTATTTAGTTAGCTGTTTTTGTTCCAGTTACTTCTCAGTTACTAGAGTCACAGATGTCCAGTGCTGCACGTTTTGAGACTTACCTTGGTTGCTATGGTTAGCTACTATTGGAAGAAAGTCAAATTTCACCTGTTTTAGGATCAGCAATCCTAAATCTTATTCATTCAGCAAATACTTTAAATACTACAAATGAAAAATAGCCTAAAATGAGATCATTAACTCTAAATATATATATAATGTAGATTATATATATATAAGTGATTACAAAGATATATAATTGATTACAAAGAATCTGTATATCACAGCCTACAGAACAAAATATATAATAATATATGTATAGAATTAAATTTTGCATTTGTTTCTTTTATACTACTAGTAGTACTTAATGAAATATTACACAATTATACTTTTTATTTTATAAACATTATAAAATAGAAACTGAAAATATATTTTACCAGTAAGACAGACCTATCTCATTAAAGCCACTGTAGCCCAGCTCTTGCCTGCTAAGTCCCAGGTCTTCTAGGTCCATGCATTTAAATCCTGGGGGGCACTGATAGCCTTCTTCCAGCTCTGGGGAGCAGTGTGTATCTGGAATAGCTAAGCTATTCCAGGTCACATTCCTGTGGACAACAAATGAAAGTGTTAGATATTTTTATAGTTGTGAGTATTTATTGGAATAATTAATCATTCAGTCATTCTTTACCAATAACTGCTGTATATGGACACAAATTGACCTTTGCAATTTGTAAGTGGCATTCACAAGAATTAAACATTCTCAAATGATAAGTGATTCATTTGCCTAGAGCATCTTAAAATACTATATTCTTTTTGTGTTTTTTTTTGTTATTTGCTGGTTTCTTTGATTTTTGTTTCAATGAGAAAGAGAAAGGAAGAGCATGGATTTGGACAGTTGAGGAAGATGAGAGAATCTGGAAAAACTTGTTGCAGGCAAACCTGTCATCACAATACATTGCATGAAACAATATTTTCAATAATATATATTTGATTTCTTATTAAAAATAATTTTGCAATAAGACAATGCATAGAGATGTGAAGAGATGCTAATTTGTATGGGACTTTGTCATTCAGAAAGCTCCTGTACTACTAAGCAAACATTTTATTATTCCTCTATTTTCAGCTAACATTAGGTGATGAAAGGTTTTTTTGCATATTAAAATTTGAATTCTTATAAATGATATTAGACTTTTTGGTATGTTCATTCTTGTGCCTTTTAGAAAGAGAAACAGACAAATAAGAAAAATTGAAAGGAAGAAAGTCCATGATTTTGGCAAGAGAAAAACTTAGGAGATGGTTTACTGGTAGCTCTAAGAAAACTAAAGATTTTTAGAATGACAGTGACATATTTCTTCATCTTCTTGTTGACAGAATAAAAATTAATTTGTATATGGATTTATCTATGTGATGGATTTCTTCATAGATTCTAAAACTGTCACCAGAATGGGATTGAAGTTTTTACGACAAGCCCTCAAAAATGCGTCAATGTGCCATGTGAGGTCATTTGTGTTGACTGCGCAGAGGGTTATGTAACTCTACAAACCTGAACTAGGATTTTGTTGTGGATATTGTCCACTGTGTCAGTGTTTCTAAGATTTCCTAAGTTCCTTAAACTTACCTTAAGCTTATTGCAAAATTGAGAAAGTAATTTCTTCTTTGATAACGTGTTTTTCCTTTAATAAGTTTTCTATCATCTATTTATCTATCAATCTATCATTTATATATCTATTGATCTATTTATTATCTAACGTTATTTATACATCATCTGACTATCTATCTATCTATCTATCTATCTATCTATCTATCTATCTATCTATCTATCTATCTATCATCTATTTATCTTTCTATATACTTACCTACCAACCTATCTATCATCATCTAGCATCATTTGTATGTATGTTTCTGTGTGCATGTGTGCACAGGTCTGTATAAGTGTCCATGCCCATACATGTGGAGGCTCGTAGTCAATGCCAGCTATCATCATCAATTATTTTGTATATCATTTTTTTGTGACAGGCTGTTTCACCGACTCTAGAGCTCACTGATTTGAACTGGCTATTTAGCAAGCTCCAGGGATCCCATATCTTTGTCTCCTCAGGCACTCTCCTCAATGCCTAGCTGTTTACATGAATGTTGTGGATCCAAACTTGGTTCCTCATATAAGAAGCAGTTTAGTGATTGTCCTATCTTCCTAACACCTCTTTAAATGCTTCCAATTATTGCTTCCTTTCTCTTATACAACATAATTCTCTAGAATCTAATGTAAATTGTAACCACCTGAACTGTTTAATACACATGTATACACATTCACACCAAGATGCCTGGCCCAATACTCAGTTATAGTAAAAACCTTATTATACTCACAAAGAATTTTTGCTCTTACCTGAAAACTGACTATTTTTGTCTACACTTCTTAGTGAGTAAATGGTTAAACAATCATTCTGTCTCTAATTACATTTTAAAAATATCCTTCGGATCTCACAAAAGAAAAAGAGGGCTCTAACTGTGAAAATTACTACTTGATCGAGTCAGAAAATATGGTTTGATGCAGACACATTACTTATTTCTTTCACATCACATTCTCATTTGTAGACAAATGATTCATCCTTCTGTAAGTCTAATCTGATGCTATTTTGGATTTGACACCTACAAAGTCAGTGCTGGATGGGAAATGGCCCTCGGGGGTTTAGAGTGAGGGTTTTTTTAGCTTTATCACAGCTACCCATTTGCTGTTTGTGTGATAAAAAGGTTCTAAGATCTCTAAATTTGATTTCTTCATCTGAGAGACAGGAAGGCAATTCTAATGGGAAAGCATGCGTGAGAGGAACACAGACTAACGGGGAGCCTAGCACTTCATATTATTTTTAATTAACTGTCTTTAAAATGATCACATAATTACAATAAAAATATAACATAAATCTCGTCATATGAACACATTACAATAAAGATTGGGGCACATAATCCTAGAAGCATCTTTTTATAGACCTGAATTGAGAGACTGTGTATATGACTTAGTTTGTCATCATTTGTATCCAAGAAAGACAGGGTGAAGGTCAGAGATGAAAAAGGGATGAGCTGGCCCAAATCTTTATAATTTTAGATTTAAAAATTAACAGCAATGCTAGAGAGTGATTTCTGTCTATACATAAAGTTTCTGTAAGTGTCACTTTTCAGTCACTTGGAAAAGAAACTGGACTTGATCAGATCTGTGTGTACATTCTGGATCAGCACTCTGGCATGTGTAAAACTTCTCTGAGCCTCCATTTCTTCATCCGGGAGATGGCATTTCCTTCCAGAATAAGGGTGAAAATACATGGGCTCAGTTATATTATTCAGGATATAAAATGGGCGCTGGTTTAGTTGTCAATAACTATCATTGTCAGCCATTTGACATATATCAATTGCAGATGATAACTGTAGCTCAGATGCATTTTTCTCTAGCCGACTAATTTCAGGAATGTCACACCTACTTCACCTCCTTTGCAGAGCATTTGAGTTTACATATGATGATATACATTTCAGAAGAGCATTGGAAACATATTTATCACTCAATAGTGGTTAGCTATTAAGATTAAGTTTTCAAAATATTGTAGTTTGTTCCCTCTGGTTTCCTTTTTTTTTCTGACATAGTTCATTGTTTCCCATTTTAGGCAGAGCACTCATAGTACAGAATTATTATTATTTATTTAAGTCTAGAAGTAGTGGATTTGAATCACTTCATTTTTTTATTCTCCAAGAACACCATATTTGTAATTTGTACAACATTTTGCTGCATCAAAACACATAAGTAATATGTAGATATATTTAAAATATACAAGAGGCTAGGTATACCCCCTGCCATTTTATGTGAAGAACTTGACCATGGGGGTCATTTACCTCTCTCTATATATTTTTAACCTATCTATAGGGCAACCTGGAGTCAAAGCATTATAATTACCAAGTTAGGACTACATTATATTGCATACTTAGTGGTAATTAAAGCTCTAAATATGATTAAGGTAAAACCTTGAGGTTAGGCAATTATTCTGGATTGTGAGAGTGACCCATCCTAACACATTAACCCTTAAATGTAGGCAGAAGGAGATGTGACTATTGAAGAAGGATCTAGAGACCAGTTTCGTTCTTTTGAGTACAGCAGGTTTGTTCAAACTTTTTAGACCATCCTCCTGTAACTGGCTTCAACTACTGAAGTATTCTCTGAGCTTGGAACGTGGCTTTCCTTCCTTTCTTAGTGATTTTCCCAGTCAGGGCCTATCAGTCTGTTATTGTTCTCTCATCTTAGATGTTTTCTTAGAGTCTCAGAACCACATGTCCATCTGTGTACTAGGCCTCTCTACTTAGCTACACCACAAGGGCCTTCAGCCCAATAGAACCCACTGGATCTCTGTTTTCTTCCCCAGAATCCTCCTTCCTAGCAAATGAAAGCATTGTCTGAACCAACTGAAGAAGCTGGAGAGCTTGGAATCAGCCTTAAATATAACTTATCCTTCAAGGCTATGCAATAACTGTGATCTCCAGAACCACCTCCTGAATACTTTAGTGGCTAACCCAGTTCCCTCTATCTCTACACAGATAGGAGTCAGTACCTATCATCCTCTCTGACTACCCAGCACCCTATGCTTAGCTCTTTCCTTCCACCTGGTACACAGCAGACAGATGTCATTACAATTCTTTTAAGCGTCAAAACGTTGGACATCATCAACAAGATCTAGAGCTTTCTAAGCAACAGAGAAGATAAGAAAATTATGGAGTTATGAGAACAGAGGAACCCAGAAATCTGGTTGAAGCTATTTACCAGTAAAAAGAACTCCAACACAACTAACAACTGCTTTAGGCCTTCTCCCTTCCCAAATATAATCCTATGGTTTTCTGGAAACCTCTCCAGAAACTCCTTTTAGACGGAAAGGACTTGTTCTAATCCCTGTTTAGCCCCTGAGCTCCTGATTGTACTGTATCAATTATAATTCCATTCATGGCATTTCCACAGACACCCTGGAAGACCACTTTCAAAAGAGAGAAAGGAAAAAGAAAGTGTTTTAGTAATTGTAAAAACGTAACTTGAGAGTAACCAAAATGACAATGCAAAACCAAATAGCTAATGCAAAAATATTTAATTGTGCCCCTTACTTGAGAAGCTCACACCTGGACTTTTTAGCTTATGGTTTACTTTCTTCTACTGTCCCTTGAAAAGCCAATATCTCCACCTGTGTACATCTTTTTTCCCGAGTACCTCTACTTCCCTCAACTCTTCTGCTTTTAAAATATCCTTTATAAAATTTCCCAGTCTTCTTCATACTGGCAAGTCCTGAAATTATTTTTTTGTATCAAAAACACAAATCCTGGGTTTGCCTGATCAAGGTTACAGGAAGATAAGGGAAGTCTCAAGGCTATTGAGAATGACAGTCTAGAGCTATGTCTCTATCTTAATCACCACTAAAATCCCCAGACTTCTAGCATCCTTCTGCCTGCTTTATACTAATGGACCAGGGGATCCAGTCATAGCCTTTCAACGTATTTTGGCTTTCAGGACCCAGCTTGGGTGCTTCTTTCTCAGTGATGTCACTCCTCCAATCTTAATTTCCCTGCTATAATTTCTAAAAGTGCCGTGCTTTTCACATTTAAGACAAGGGCAATTCATGTTTCTACGACCATTACTTTGCTGTTTATCTTCAACGTTCAATTGTTCCCAGTGTAACCTTACTAACACATAGTGCTGGACACACAGTGGGTGATGGGCAAATTTCCCATCCCTTTTATGGTATCGCGTTGTTTGGTCAAACTCCAGTCTAGATGCTGTGGTTAAAGTGTAAGTTTTAGGTGTGATTCACTAGACTTTAAATAAAGCATGCCAACATTTACTACATGAGTGGGCTTCATCTTACTGTCTGTAAAGAGAAAACACTAAGGGTCTTCCAAGAGGAAGATTTTTCTATGTGCAAATGCCTGCAACACCAGCTCCTGCCCAGTTTACCAACATGAAAGTTTGCTCATATTGGTCTGGAAACCTCTATCAAAAGAAATTTCATTTATATTTATATCATTTTGGCCAATAAATTTTTATTTCTTGGGTAACCAATACATAAAACATGTTTATAATTATTTTCTGAATAGATGAATGAATGAGTCTTTCAACCATTATTCAAAATTTTTGATGAATTTATTTTTCATTTGTACAATAACTACAGAAATAAATTCTTCAGTAAGTGCCTTTGTGTTTGTGTTTACTTTATTTCATTGCTATACCTACACATTGGCATGGATTTTCAGTGTTTTAAATTCCTAGATGTAATAGGGATGTTTCAAAACAAGTACTGGAATCCCTCTAAGTATTTAATTGTTTTTCCAAAGGCTTTAATTATCCTCCAGGCATATGCTTTTCTTTTCGTTTCTTCCGTGAATTCTTAACAGAATATTCTATTTACAAATACCATCATGTAGGAATTTAAGATCTAAAATTTTTTCGTTGAGACTATTGCTAAAATTGTTTACAACAGCAACATCATAATACATCAGAACTTTTGAGTTCTATGCTTTTAACTTAAGCATTAATCTCAGTGGCACAGAACATTAAGCTGTATGTTAAAAACCAAGATTTATCATTTTACCTTAGTGGTTAGCTGACTTAACTACTTTGGGCAGAGACGCTAAGCTTTTTAGCCTAGGATTCTTCTCTCTAAAATGAGAAACTTTACAATTATTTTAAAAGTGGGATGACTTTAGCTCACTTCCACTTAAAAGAAGAAAGGGCTATGCAGAGGCAGAGTGAAACCAGGTGCCCTGTTGTGGTTTCATTCCTATTGCTGTGATGAAACATCCCGACAAAAAGCAACTTGGGGTGTATTTGGCTAAAAACTCCTAGGTTACAGCCTATCCTCAAGAAGATGTTCAGACAAGAACTCAAAACAGCTTGACACATAACATCTACATTAAAGAGCAGAGAGACAATAAATGCATTCTTGATGCCTGCCTGCTTACCTATTTTCTTTCATTCTTTTGTATTCTAGAGCCCCTTATCTACTGAATGGTGCTACCTACAGTAGCTAGGATCAGTCAACACTCAGGATAATCCTCCACAGACATGCCTACAGGCCAACCTCAGATAGATAAATCCTTATTGGGATTTTCTCTTCCTAGGTGACTGTATTGATTAAACAATAAAGCCTAACCGCCACAGGTGTCACAGGTATGATTTAACAACCTCAAATGTGCAAGAATCCCCAAAGACAAATGCAGAGTTGAAGGCTTTACATTTTTACTTATTGACTTTGGTTGGAGGATATGCAGTTGCCATAGTGTGCATATGCAGGGGTGAGATAGTCAATTCACTCCTGCTACCATGTAAAGCATAGGGATGGAATTCAAATCATCAGGCTCCGTGTCAAGCAGGCAAGTACCATTTGTTAGCCATTTACCAATCTGTTCAAATTTTTCCCTTTCTGACTTTCAATGTCATCTTTCTCCAACGATGTCAATCAACTATCACTGCTAATTATATTATGTTTCATGTTGGCCTCTGGTCGTCACTGTCACCAATGAGCAAATGTGTTCAGTTCATCTTTGGTTCTTAGTGGGGCCACTTTATTTCAGTGTGTGATGGTCATTTGTCAACTGTCTCCTCCTGTACCACGCTGCTTATGAAGGAATGGAATATCTGGGAAGTTATTCCCCTCTTAAGGACTGTGTTGCTCGGTGTGAATGGTAGGATATGAAAGGAGGGGCCATAGGGCAGCGTACAGCTGCTTTCATGGCCATGGCAGTCTCAAGGAGGTTCTAAAGCCCAACTTAGAAATCCCACATATTAGAATGAGGCAGGGCATGGTGGGTAATGAGAAAACTTTGCTGTGACTTTCATGAAAGTATCAATAGGCAGTAGTCCTGGCAAGAGATGTGTGTTCTGGGATATGGGAATAGAAAGTCACTATGTGTACAGCAGAGAGACAGGAGAATTAGAGGGAAGCAGTAGAGAAGGAGAAACTTATCAACTGTTCACTGACAACTGTAGTTCCTCAGTGTAGTTCTTCAGAGTAGTTCTCAACTCAAGAAGCTATTTAAATATAATTTCTCATACTCAAGCAGTTACTACCATTTCAAGTCATATTCAGTCACATACTCAGAGATTTATTGTGTGAGGAAGAGAGAAAGAAGCATTCTTTCCTCAAACTGGGACAGTGGAACTGGTGCACTAATAACTGATGTAACTTCTCTCTAATTGATAAAAAAAAAGGTCCAGAAGGTGATAACCCACCGTTTTGCATATTGGGTTGTCACAAAATTTACTTACTAGGTTTTCAAAACATACACCTATGATGAGCTCTTACAGATAACTATTTGGTTTATGTTGGTAGCACTTTGACTCCCTTAAGACCTAAAGATAGACAGGAATATGTTAACTGCTTTAATTTAATTTTACTTATGTGCACAGGTGTTTGGCCTTCATGTGTATTTGTGCACTAAGTGTGTGCCTATTGCCTTCCAAGGTCAGAAGATATGGTATCAGATTTCCTGAAACCAGAGTTGCAGATGGGTGTGAACTGTAACATAGATGCTAGGAATTGAACCTGGTTCCTCTGGAAGAGCAACCAGTGCTCTTACCAGCTGAGCTTGTCTCTCCAGCCCTAATACTGACTTCTTAGTTTCTCAAATTAAACTTACTTTTAAGGAATTCACAGAGGCCAAATTGCATGTATTTCAGAAGCTGAAAATTCCTGAGAAGTTAAAGACACAAAGGAAATACCTAATACAACGAATTCATAAGCAACAAAGATTACTATATAGCTTATGGGCTTTTTGTTATTTATTGTATCAGTAAGGCTTCTTTTATATTTACCTTGTGGATTCTAAAAAATCAAAAAAGCAGAACATAATTATAATAAGTTGATGTGAAAGAACTATATACATGTGCACATCCACATGCATACACACATACATACACACATATACACACACTCCTGCCCCAATGCCAATTGTGAATATGTATTCTGATACATTACATCATATTTGTCTTGTTTTTAGGGGTAGGAAAAAAAGAATATTTCTGTTTTGTTGACAGCTGAGCCCTGAAAATGAAGGTGGTCTCTGTCATATACATGGGCCTACCTAGAATAATTATCTGACTTCCCAGTTCATTTCAGAGAATCATTTGGCTTCCTGTTCACATCTACTTAGTCTCCCCTTCTGGGGATTAATTTAAAACCTCTCCCTGAACTGGCCTGGCTCATTCTCATGGTGGAAGTTTGAGAAACTAATCCCACCCTGGACAGCAAGGTTCTTATTTGCAGAGATAAATTATTTATTGATTGTGATGTTTGGAAACTTTAAATGGAGCTGTCTAGACTTAGTGAGACTGCAAAACAAGAGAAGTCATATGGGTAGGAAATAATAATAATGACATCACCTCTTCTTAATAAATAAGCATGTGTGGCACATTTTGTAGGAAACTGTTCTTTTCTGTTAAACTGAATGTTTGGCATGAATTTTTCAGTTTCTTTCTTCATTCCTAAATAGCCTAGTAAGTAAAGCTATGGTAAAGGCTGAGTGTTTCCTCAAGTGTTTTTACTATGATATATAAACTACAACATATTACTTAAAAATATTTATTAGTTGTCTTAGTACCTCGTCATAGATGATGTCTTAAATAAGTCTCCCATTCCCCATGTTTGCTTTCTACCACATTGTTGGCTACTGTGCTGATTTCAAAAGGACAGGGTGTGTGATGGGAGCAATGAGGCTGCAGTTGAGTCGTGATCACATAAGAAGCCATGAACAAATCAAAGCAGAAGTAAAGCATCAGGATGCAGTACCCAAGCAGACCAACTTCAAGATGACAATGTACGCCTGCCTTTCAGTTACAAGGCAGCCTGCCCTTCTTGACCTCGCCAAACAACCACTCTTCTGCTTTTGCTTTGAGAACTATATGCAGGGTGAGTCATGATAAAGACACAAAGCCTGTGAAAACGAGGCTCTAGCTTTATTATTTTTCTTTTTTTTCCCTTCTGTCCATTAAAGAGTATCTTTGTTCTTGCTTCAGCAGCACACGTTATAAAACTGGAATGGTTTAGGAAGATTAACATGGTCTCTGCACAAGGATGTCATGCAAGCTCGTGACATGAAGCATTCCATGTGTTAAAAAAGTTATGTTTTGTAAATGGAATTTATAAGTAATTTAATTTTGTTCTTTAGTTTGCCTAAATTCTGTATGGACCAGAAACATAAAACTTCCTCAAATCCAACTTTACATTTTTTTCAGCACAACTACTTAATGATAGTTTATAAAACACTGCCAGGTTCTATAAGCTGTTCCAAGGAATGGTGATCCTTCCAGAAACTTCTTAGAATAATATAAGAAGTCATCAGTAATTTCCCTGAAACATTAGAGATAAGGGAGAATTTCCTTAGCTATCTGCAGAGCATAGCACCTTACCTCCTCCAGTAAATGGTCCAACCTGCCCAAATAAGCACCTAAACTCTTGATTGAATTCTGCCTCTCTATGAAAAGTTTTATATGTTTTACACGTACAATTACTTTCCCTAAAGCTATTCTAATCACCTCACTCCTGGGAGTAAGATTTCATTATTTTACATAAAACCATGAACACATTTTTTCCATTTCTCAGGGTGGTAATAAGGTGTCAGGTAAGTGCTCATCTTCTCTATTTTACCAGCCGCTTCATCTTTGCAGGTTCCTCTTTCAGCTTGCGGCAGATGTCTGCCATCACATTTGGCATTTTGCAGCACCTGTTTCTGCCAAGGGCCATTGCCCTTTTCAACTTTCTCTAGGAAATGAGCTGTTTTGCTTAGTCAAATCTCATTACTCTTTCCGTAATTGCCTTAGATTGCAGTTCATTATCAAAGAATCTCAGCCTTGACTGGTAATGCTGCTGAAGATGTGGCTAAGGTGTCCTTCTACATGCTTTAAAGAAATGTGTATCATTTAGAAGTAAAGGTGCATGCTACTAATTACCTCACTCTTTATCCTCTTTGCTTCACAGATCAAACAACATACATTTCATAGTTCAGTGGTGAGACCTAAGATACATAGCCTTCTCTTAGAAAGCTTCCCCATTATCAAGAAGATAGTATGTACAAGTTAATTAGTCTAAATTCAGAAAAAATGTGAAAAAATGATGAATATGAAGCTAGAGATGCTCACAGTCCTTAGCAACACTTATACCTTAAGCATTACCATAGCTATTGATTGACTGAGATATGTTTTATTAGATAAAATGAGTAAATATTGTTTTTGTATGTATACTTGTGTGTATGCATGCCCACATGTGTGGGGGCATTTATGAGTGCTTGTGTGTGTGTGTGTGTGTGTGTGTGTGTGTGTGTGTGTGTGTGTATGTGAATGTGTGTGTCTCTGTAGGTTGATATTGGGACTCTTCCTTGATTGTGCTCCACCTTATTAATTGAATGGGGTCTCCAACTTGAACTAGGAGCTTTCCAGTATAGTTAGTCAGTCTAGCCAGCTTCCTCTGGGAATTCCTGTCTGTGTCTTCTGTGTGCTGAGATCAAAGGTATACCACCATGACTGTCTGGCATAACTGTGGATTCTAGGGATCAGAACTCTCTTCATATTGTATATGTAAGGGCTTTTAGTTATGGGGCCATCTCCCAATGTCAATATTAATGTTATTTTTAACTGACAATGTATAGCTGTTTTATTTTTAGCACAATATTACACACACATGCACACACACATACATGCATAATGCATGAGTGAATTAAACTAATTAATCAAGTCATCGTGGTCAGTAATGTTTTTGTAGTGATATATTTGAAATCTACTTTCTAATTATTTTAAACTATACCCTACATTGTGACAGACTCTGCTCATGTTGCTGAGGATGAGTTCTCAAAGCTTATCCTTCCCATCTGGCTAGAATTTTGTATCCTTTATCATTAGTTCCCCCTTCCTTCATGGTGCTAACCACCAGCCTCTGATGAGCATCATCTTCCATGCTACTTTCATAAACCAACTTTTCTAGATTCCATACATAAATGATACTATAAAGTCCTTGCCTGTCAATGACTTTTTACAGTTACAACCATGCTCTGTAGTTTGTTTATGTCACTGCCAATAAAAAAAAATTTCTTGCAACCGAATCTTCTATGAAGTTACCTGTGATTAATTCTTTCTTCAGGATAATGGGGTGAAATGGAGTCAGTGTTTAAATTTCAAGAGGACTTTGAGTACACATTTAATGACAAACAGCTCTCAGCACTGGGCATACCATGGAGATGGCCATGCAGACTCAATGAAGTGACTTATGGGCTTGAGTTCAGGAGACATTCATGCCTCTTCCCAGTTGGTCCTGAAGTTCGTGCTCTAGTTTAAATATCATTCAAACACGTCTATGTGTATTTGTGTTACAGTTTGGTTTTCCAGAACAATACCTAATTGACAACTGTCAAATCAGGACTGTTTTTTACAATTATGTATGCATATACATACATGAATGTAACAATAATTAATAAAAATAGAGGTCATAAATTTGAAAGAGAGAAAGGAGGGGTCTATTGTAGGGTTCAGTGGAGGAAAAGAGAGGAGGAAATGATGTAATTATATTAAAATCTCAAAAGTAAAAGGAATAATTAATAAAAATAATGTTCAACCTGCACCATCCCCATTTGTGAAAGTTCTTTCTTAGCTATTATCCCTGCCCCCCCACTTCTACAGCTATTATCTCTTACTCACAAAATATTTTTGATACTTTCTTACCCACCTGTAGAATAATCTAGATATACCCAACAGTCTACTTTTATAGAAAAATTAATAACTACAAATTTGTCTCTTCCCTCATCCACATAACTAACTCTCCTATTCCTGACTTTCTTCAATTTCCCTGCCCTACATGCTTTAATAATTCATTGCTTTTCTCTGCTGTAAAAATAGATTATCTATTTTTGGCCATTTTTCTCTCTCACATTTAATGATTTACTTTCTTTATTTGCTTATTTTCACTTTCTTGTCAATTTGGGATATGTTACCATTATCTGTCTAATTAAAATATTCTATCAACTATGCCTTATATAAACAATTAATGAGTATTCTTTGCTGGAATCCTAGAATTATGCGTAAGGAGAAGACTAAAAGACATAATTTATCCAATTAAACCTTGGTTAAGCATTGCCTTATCGACATTGCAAAATAATGAGAAAATAAGACAAGGATGAAGTAAGCAAGAAAGAAGAAAAAGTTGTAGAAGAAGTAATAAAGAAGAAGAAGAGGAGGCAGAACTCTGGGTACTACTGGCAAGATATCCACATTGATGTCAACTCCATCCATTTCAAACAACTAACTGTTGAATAAAAGCATCATGCAAAAGAGTCATAGAGGAAGAAAATGACTAAAACCCCATATATACAAGAATGAAACCTTTAAAGAATGCTAAATAAATATCCAAATACTATAATCTTTATTAGTAAAATAGTAAATAGTAAAAACAAAAAGTTTGATACTTTCCAATGCATTATGAATAAATAAAAAAAAGTTGTTTTAAAAACTGCAAATAACAACGCATAAGAAAGAAAACTTCATTTCCTAACAACAAAGCATAAGCGCAGAAGGAGCACATGGGTAGGGACAGCAGGAGAGTGGCTAGCAATATGGAGATATGAACAGGTTCGGGCATCCGGGATCGACATGAGGTGGAAGCCAGAGCCCCTGGTCTGAAAGATCAAGATCTGGAAAGACCTCATGAGCAAAGTCGCAGTGTACCTAGGACTTAAAAGTTCAGCACCAGGAGATAGTCAGTGAATCCATAGAACACAATGGAGCCCACAGGAAAAGATCCATCTGCAGACTTAAAATTCACATACAAAAAGGTGGCACCAAACTCAGTCTTTCTATTTCACAGTGTATAGGAGTTCCAGTTGTTTTCATTGTTCATATTGTTATGAGGAACAAAATACATTCCATGTCTACTGCTTGGTTTGTTTGTTCCTCATATAAGTGTGTGTGTGTGTGTGTGTGTGTGTGTGTGTGTGTGTAAAACAGGGGAATTCAAGCTGCATATCAGGGTCTCTGGCCAACTGTGACAAACTCTGATTTCCAGATTCCTTCTTAATTTTAGCTCCTCTCAATGAGCTTAACCCCATCCTTACCAGTTGGGCCTTACAGTTTAGTGTCTCAGATGGGATTGATATTTGCTTCCTTTTATTGACAGTTTAGGAAATAATTGATGCACATCTAATTTTAAATAGCTTCGGAAAATATCAATTGTCGATTAGACAAAAACTGGCTAAACAAAATTAGATTATTTTAGATTTCAAAATCTAATTGCTATTGTTAAAGGAAACTGAAAGGTCATTTCTTGATTCACTGCATGTTCTGCCTCAAAAATTAACCCAGAAACTGTTAGAGATTTATAAATATAGAAAGGTCAGTTCATCAGAAAGACAAGGACACTTTGTGTTCATTCATTTATTCTAGTTTACAGCTGAAAAAAGAAAAAAAAATCTGACAGAGATAAAAGAGAAAAGGGAAATTGTTGAAAGAGAGAGGGCCTGAAATTCCTGTCATGTTAAGAAAACATGGTGATGCTATTTCATAGTTTGATAAAAGCTATCAGGAAAAAAATAAAGAAAAATCCTGGAACACCACCAGCTAATCCAACCAAAGCATTGAAAAATTACGTGCAAAAATTGAGAATTTTCTAATTATCAAGCAATGATGAGTTAGACCATATACCACTGCTCAAAATGATCCTTAATGAAACTCTTGCAGAGATTATTATCTAATTATAATAGAATAAAATTACATAGCAACATAAAGTATTGTTTTTGAAAATACTCTCATTCAAAACACACTTCTACACAACTTTCAGGTCAAGAAAAATGAAAAACGTTTATATTAAACAATGATTAAAAATAAAGTATCAAATTCTGAAAATGTACTTAGAGGGATACTCTGAAGGAAAGGTATGTCTTTAAGACTTTGTATTTAAAAAGAAAAATTATTAAAAGCCAGTGACATGTTTCATCTGAAGAAGCAAGAGAAAGGTCTAGAAAACCAACTGTGGCAAGCAACAGTAATGATAAGAGAAAAAAAGAACCGGGAAAGTAAAATAACAGCAGAGAACATTAAAGAAACTGTGTAGCTTCTTCCATATGTGAGGGAAAAGATGCATAAAACTAGAAAGAGGGGCCTAAAGGAAATGAAAATATGAATCACTAACATTAGGATTGAGACATGGCTGATTCCAACAGCTCCAACAACTACAAGAAGGACAACTAGGAAGTATTTTATAAGCATTAGACTAGTGTTAAAAAGCTACAAAAATAAGTATGTTCTTTGGAAAACAAAATTTGTCATACCCTACAGAAAAAAAGACAAATATTAACATGTTAGTTATAATTAAGTCATAATATAAAAGTCTCCGCATCACTGTCAACACCACTACAACAAACCAAAATTAAGATACAGAGAGTTTCATTTATTAATTTTACAAAGAAGAAAGGAATGAGTTTATTAATCTCATATTCTTCTTACTGCATGGGCCACACTAGTTGGGTTCTATGGGTTATAAATGAACAGACTATGAGAAGTTGGGAGGGTTATGGGTTTAGAGGTGCAGCTGGCAGGAATAAATTAATATTCAAAGACTATTTCAAAGTATTTAAAATAAATAAAAGAAGAAATAAAAGTATTTAAAAATAAAGTAGGAAGAAATATTTCTCATTCTTCTGTGAAGACAGAGTTCCTAGAAATTCTTGTTTCTCATGGGCAAAAATGCAATAATGAGTTCTATAAGTATAAACAAAACATATTTATTTACATATACTTATATATAATTACACACAGGATTTTACATGTCAACAAAGACTCAATAAAATTATTAAATAAAAATTAATATAATTGTGATAGTGGAGAAAATAATGTATTCAGAAAGCCAAAGTTTAATCATAAAAATTACCATTTGTGGCTATTTTGGAGGAAAAAATGGAGAGAAAATAAGGATTTAGTTCTTATCATTTTTTTAATCAATTTTAAAGTAATAAGTTTCATAATAACTTTTATGTTCATATATATCATTACTCCCTGTCTCACAAACAAACAAACTAAAATGTGAAATTCTTATGAAGTTACATTAAGTGGTAGAAATTAGCCCTGTTTGTCACCGCCCACACTCACAGAACATGTGGTGTGCCCACACACGCCTATGAACCCAGGACAAACTTGTAAGTCCTTGTCATATGCGTGCATATAAAAACTAAATAAAGGTAAAATAGGGCTGGCAAGATGGTACAAACACCTAGTACCAAGTCAGATCACCTGATCCAGATTATAGATTCCATCCCTAGAATCCATATTATAGGAGGAGAAGATTGATTAGAGCCCCAGGCTGTCCTCTGATACCTCCAGGCATGCCATGGCATAAGCATAGCCCCCCACACACATGTAAATATAAAATAAAGGTAAAACCATAAGCATATTTGCTAAGAGGTTTTTGATGTTTAACCGGTGAAAATACACTAAAGTTTGTGTGAATTACTGTGTCCATTTTAATTTTTGAAAAACCTGCATATGCTTTCAGAAGACAATCTTTATACATGTCACAGAGGCATGACCTCAGCAATTTACATAAACTCAACCAAAACATTGAAATTGAAACAATTTTATCATTATTTATATAGTATAATCATATAAATACATAAATTCACATAGATTCATTTAACTATAGTTCAACTTATTTTCACTTGTACAAATGCATACCTTTTATGAAGAATACCCTTCAAATACAAAAACATCACAAATATGATAAACACTGCAATTTTCTAAAACCTTAACTGTTTTGCAAATAGATTTTTTTATTCAGACATAAATGAGTCTCCTTTAAAGTTTAACAAAATGCTGGAAATTCACATTCTATGATCCCAACTGAGATTTTTCTTAAATATAATTTGTGAGTCATTTGCTTGTAAACAGATCAATCCCTGCTCAAAGATATGAATAGAAGGTATAAAATCAATTTCTGCCTCAGTGTGTTCTACTTTACATTCATATTTACAACCATTGAACATCTGTGAACTGAACTTGGAATCCCCAACTCTGATGCCCAGACAACACCAAAGAAATGCCACTGGTCTATATATTCAGAGGCTGCCAGGCAGCTCTGCTTTCTCCTCCCGCTGTTCTGTATCAGTGCTAGTCTTAGTAATGGTTGCTATGCACGAGATCAGGCTCTACCTATACCATCAGTAGCTAGGTCACTCTCGCTGTATCTTAATCGCCTGCCTTATAACACATGAATGCAACAGATACCATTCATTTATGTAGAAATGTTGCTGAAATCAGCCAGGAAACTGTTTTCAGGACTGGATGACTATTGATATTAATTATAAGAATAAGGTTTTTATTTTCCCTTTTATTTTATTTTGGATATCTCCCAAAGTTCTGTAAGCACATTCCCCATGTGGCTATTCTTAGGAAGGTTGTCTTTGTTTAATAGTCTTTCCCAGCAAGTTATCCTTTTTGATCTGGCTTGTTGTTAATGTTTTCCTCAAATTTGGACAAAACAATGCTAAATTGGCAAAGAATAAAGAATACAAATTACCAAAAACACTGATTTTAAAGCATTTGACAATTTCACACACACACACACACACACACACACACACACACACACATAATTCAGAAATGTTCTAAATCACCTAGACTTAAAGTGTGGCAAAGAAACTTACCCCGGTTTTGTATCATTCACAACACAGTGGTAGGTAAATGTTCCAAACATTTGAACTCCTAAAATTCCATACAGAAGTAGGAAGAAAAGGAGGAAAATCGAAACACTCCAAATTTGTTCTCCTGACCGCCTAGGGAAAAGAGAAAAGTTAGCTCAAAAAGATTAAAAACACCCTCCAAAATTTCCATAAATGTTCCCCTTAATGTATGCACCAAGCTGTGCTTACTTTAAAATATTTGTAATTCTTGTCCTCGGCAGTTCAAATCGGAAATAAATCCTGAAAGCCCGGATCATAATAAGTGGTCGTGGGATTCGCAGCATGCCCCATGGTGACATCTGATCAACTATATCAGCAATTTCAAATACCTACAGGTGAAGGGAAGCACAGACAGAGACATCGCCTTCGCATTGATCATTGCAGTGGAATGTATAGACACCACAAGTGTGTTCTTTGAATTTATCCTGTACCCTCATTGTATTCGACCAAAGATCACATCTTGACATTATAGCTACCTTAAGAGAAACAAACACATCAACTATTGAAAGTGACCTAAATCTCCATGTTCTGGTTCTTCCAGCCACTTTTTTTTAATCATAAAATAAAATGCCAACTTTTGAGTTATTTTCACTTATAGTGTCTTTGACTATCTAGGAAACAAAAGAATAGGGGAAGTGTCAAAATATTCAAACTATTATTAAAATGTGGAAAATGGCCCCTTACATTTTAGTAGAATCAAAATAATAACAAAAGTCTGTTCACCTAATATACTGTGGAGGCCCAAAAATGTGAGCCTACTAATATCCAGACCTTTTATTTCAGGAATAGAGAAGTAGATATGTTTCTATCTCAAACAAAAGTCTAAGGATCCAACTAAGATTCCAGTTCCCTAAAGGAGATAACTTTGGATTCCACCCAGAGAGTGGTTTGCCTACAGAACGTTATGGTCTAGGGTATGCGCGTGACTTGTTTTGTTCTAGCAACAGAATGCTTAACTATGGATGTAGCCTGTGACCTTCAACTGGTCTGTTCACTTTCTTGTATCATGTTAATGCAGTTTTTTTTTTTTTAAAAAAAATCTGACTCCTACCCCTTGGATCAGGATATGTTAAGCAATTAGAAATTAAACGTGGGCGATTTCAGTATTTACTGAAACTCCCAGCACTATTCTATGTTTTTCTGTTTTATTATTTTTCATGTCTCTCCACGGTCTTTACAGTATTTCTAAATCCCCACAGCCCTACCCTGGAAAGAGGTGTTTCTGTGGAGGCCGGTCCTCAACATCACACAGTAGTTTATTACATGCAAAGGACATATGAGTATGAGAGGGGAAATCAGGTCACAGGAGAGGTGCACTTCATAAAAATGAGGAAGGACAGCTAATCAACAGCCACCATGAAGAGGTGGAAAGAAGAGATACACATATTTGTTCTGAGTTTTGATTGTTAATTAAGTGTGTGTGTGTGTGTGTGTGTGTGTGTGTGGTGTTTGTACATACACATACACGATGGTGCATAGGTAAGTGCTCAGAGAGAACCTAAGGGAGTCAGGTCTCTCCTCCCACCAAGTACATCTCAGGGATCTAACTCAGGAAGTCAGATTTGGCAGCAAGGGCCTTTAGCTAATGAACCATCTAGCTAATGCCTGTTCTGAATTTTTTTAAACATAGACTAGAAGAACAGGGATCTGACTTATAATATTCTATCAAATGTTAATAATAATGCATTGAGCGTTTAATTTTTGTTAGAAACGTAATCTCATGAAAAAAGTCAAATCAGAACTAAAGAATGTAGTGACTTTACTGAAATGCAAAATCCTGCCTGAAGGATCTAAGACTGAGTTATCCTCTTTCCCAGTAAAAGTCCAGCAGAAGCTTTCATACCCACTTTCTATTTATTATGATAAAGCATTTATCTTTGTGATGTATTTGGTGTTGTACAATATCTATTCAATATTAATAGTTTAATCTGTTTTTAATGAGGATTTAGTTTTGAACTTAAAATTTCCTAAACTTAAATTTTGATTTTAAAAATTAAGTATCTCACTCCAAAAATTAAGCATCTTTTATTTTTTCATTGACAATATGTTTATTGTTGTTTCATGAGGAAAAACCACCTTTAATATTGATTTTAATTTCTTTGAAGAACTCACATTTGCAATCAACAATAATTTAAATGTTGCAATTAGTTTTGTATTCATGAGCACATAAAATAAACAAATAGGAAATTATACAACCGCATTTGAAATGTATTTTTCATTGTTTCTAGGTAAATTTTGAGTGGAAAAAATGCCTACTTTTAAAAACATCTCGTTGTGATTCAAACATACTTAATTACCTGTAGCACAAGGGAAACCCAGAGGCAAAAAACCATGAATCCATCGAAAACACACCAGCGATCCTTCACATAGGAGCTATCACCCTGAAAATAAATTCCACATAGATTGTCAGGTAAATGAATTAATATAACTATTTTTAAATTCTGTGATCCGAATAGTCAAAGGTTAATTCAGTTCAAATGATTTATAATTTTCATATCACAATGAAACATAACTTCAAAAGGAGTATTTTTTAGCACTTTAAAATGGCAATTTTTAAAGCAAATATTTGATAAAATGGGAATTTGCAGAACTCTGAGTTCAGGATGCTAAAAGGAAAATATTTGTTCTATTTGTAATGATATATTTTAAATAAAACGCTGATTGGCCAGGTAGGAGGTGTAGGTGGGAAACCCAGACAGGAAGTGGAAATGATGCAAGGAGAACAGGAGGAATTCTAGGGAGGAGGAAGCTGATTCCCCCACTCCTGCCCAGATCACCGAAGTAGCAGGATGTGAGCTGCCCCACTGAAAAAGGTACTGAGCCACATGGCTAAAATAGATCAGAAAAATGGGTTAATAAAGGTATGAGAGTTAGCTAATAAGAAACTAGAGTGAATGGGCCAATCAGCTTTATAACTTAAAGAGATCTATGTGTGATTTTTCTCTGGGACTAAATAGCTGGGGGGCCGGACAGGACAGAAAACCCCCAACAAGCAGGCCCCCTCATGTTATACCCTACAGATAATTAACGAAGAGAGACACCAAGTGCATCTAGAGAGAGATATGTTGTAATCACAAATGATACACACTGGCAGCTTCATGAACACGTGGGTTATTGTCCTAGCTTCCTAGGGCCCTTGTGTTAGTGTGTCTTAGCACTGTTAATTATTTTCTCCAACAGTGTTCAGTAGACACATAATTATTTTATTTATTTATTATTAATTTGCTTTTTGAGACAAGCTTTCTTTCTACATAGCCCTGGCTGTCCTGGAACTCACTCTATAGACCAGTCTGTCCTCAAATTCACAGAGATTTGCCTGTCTCTGCCTCCAAAGTTCTGGGATTAAGTAGTGGTTTTTAGCACCTCAAATATATATTATTTCAATTAATTGGGTTTTCCTTTAGAGATTTAGTCAGCAGGAGTACTTCTGGGAGAGGCAATTAAAAACCTTGTCAGGAACAAATTAGATCCTGTTATACATGGATGAAAACCTCTCACTCTTCTTCATTGACCATAGGAGGAATTCTCAGGATATGCTGGGTCCTGCAGAGGCCACATGACTCTAGAAATCCTTACCAGCTGCTGTGTGAGCATAGCCTATCTATTACTTCTAACTCCTCAGGCCTCTACTAAGTACCAGCTGTACTCTATCCCCTCCCCCCACCTCTTTCTCTCTCTGTGTGTGTATTTCTAAATACATAAACACATCTTGCTCAGTCTATGCAATGCTACTTATATGTATCTGGTTTTAGGGTTGGCCACTTAAAAGAGAGCACGGAGCAGGTGTATGGGAAGGTTTGGAGGTAGGAAAGGGAAGGGAAAATGTAATTATGAACAACATAGGAGTGCTCCTGCTGGGCTACACCAGTCTGGCTCCAGAATCCTAGCACCTAGAGCACCTAGCCCTAATGCATCTTTTGTTCAGCAGATACCCTCCTTTTCTCTTGTTGCCCTATGTGAATCTTGTCTGAGAGTTTCCAAAGGATACAAAGCTTATGCAAAACTTGGTTGGGGGAACTCCAGAAAAAACACAGTACGGTACCCCCTTTATCGGGAATTTGCACTTGGCATTGTCCCTTTGGAAGTTAATCAGGTTATTTTGAGACTATGGAAATCAATTGGCTAAGGTGTAAATTGGAGAACAATAAAAGAAGCCCGGGACAAAAGGGAGAGCATTCACCACTTAAGGATGGATCCACCCTTTAACCAAGAAAGGCTAAATTTATTCTTAAGGTACCTCTGAGTTTTCTTTCCATCAACCTGAGTGAACCCAACACTCACACCACAACAGTATAATCTCAAAAACGTAAAATAAATGATTAAAATAAAACAGATATTCATGGCATCACTCTACATGTATAGATAAACATAAACTTCATCCCTATAAATGAACAAAGCCAGTATCATTTTGCAAGTTGTTGTGAGTGAAGAGGCAGAACTGAAATGGCTTACTGCTGGCAAGTGGATTAAATAGAAAGTTTTTAGCAGACAGCTACTTAATTAACGTTTTAAAAACGTTCACATGTTTAATTGAAGACAGTAAAGCAATTTACTTGAGAAATATGAGATTTTTCAAGACATCTCTGTGGACAGATACGTTTTTATTTTGATGTTTTATCCCTAAAAAGTCTTTGCCATGCAATTATAAAAACAAGACAACGCACAAACATAAAACAACAAAGCAATAAAATCTAAATTAGTAAAAATTTTATTGTTGCAGATAACATTTTACTAACACTGAATATTAAAACTTACATTTTACAACCAAGAATGGAATGTCAATTCCAACTTGCTCAGATCTGTCTTTTATGATATGCATGCTGAAGAAATGTGTGGTACTAAATGATGAAGCTATGGTTTGGATTTAAGGTCATAAAATCAGCATTTGCTGGTCACTTAGCTGCTACACTATAATGACCAAGTGTTATGATCTGTCCTGCCAACCGGTTACCCTGTCCCCTTAAGAGACAAGCCCCGCCCACTCACACCCTCTGCCAATTGAGGCAGTTCTGCCTCCTCCAGCCTGCCCATGCTCTCTCTCTCTTTCCCTCTTCAGAAGAGGTGGGTACTGCCCAGCTCTCTCCCCTTCCCTCTTCTCCCTCCCCTTCCCCCTTTCCTTTTCCGGTATACACCACTAAATAAGCTCTATACCCAAACTCTGTCTGAGGTCTCCCACCTGCTAGGACCTACTTCTCCTCTTTACCTGCAGCTGGTCTTTGGGGAACCACTGCCCTGCTAGGGACACCCACTGCTTTTTAAAGAATAACACCCAGGATCAAGATAATGAAAAATACTTAAACTTTGGTTCAGGACAATCAGATCTCAGATTTAACAGAAACTTCAGTTAGCATTTAATCACAAGTTTTAATGAGCTGTGATATTCTGAATACTTCAAGATAATATTAGCAATGCAGAATAATTAAAGTTGACACTATATGTGCATCTACTCTAATTATTCCTAATTAAAAGTAGAAATATACTTATCTGGTTTTCATTTTTAATTTGTCGTTTTCTTATAGATTGAAATCAGAAAAATATTTTTTGAGTTTGGTAAATAGTTAAATCAAATACAATATATGAACCTGTGTAAGTCCTGAATCGAGAAACCAACTTAAAGGTATTTATAACAATCAGGTTGAATATGAACATCAACTGCACATTAACCTACCTGAGGAATTACTGTTAATTTCATTTTATACAATGTTGGTGTTTTTGGAAAGCAAATAAAATATCAGTAATGCATATGGAGCTATTTCTGAAATGAGTTAAATAGCTTAGATATTCTTTAAAATGAAATACAGCTGTTCAATTGTTGATCTTTATGCAGGTTGTGATTCATAACAACACATTAGAAAGGCACACCATGGTGCATTGGCTGTCATGATTCTCTATTAAGAATAGAGCAACAATGCATAATAGATAAATAGAAGCAAAAAAAAGTGACAGCTAATTCTATGTCAAAAATCATTTTATTAAGGTTACCCACTCCTGGAATAGGGTCTTACATGCCTCAGAACCTCCCCCAAAACATATGAGACAGACTGAGTCAATTTGTCATTTGTCAAGCCTTAAAGTCTACACTATCCCACTCTCTCTAAATGGAAGAATATAAGCTACTCCTGGGGCAACATGTTTCCATATCTCTGAACAGGCTAGTGCAATAGAACCAGAATCTTGTGTCAAAACTTGTCTCTCTTTTCTTTCTTTCTTTCTTTTTTTTTACTATTATTAAAAGTTTATTTTTATTTCCCAAGGGTATCGATCAGATAGATATACATACTTTTTGCAGTTCCTAGGATCATATATCTCTCATTTCCTCTTTTTATCCTTTTATATCTTCAAACCACCTAGGTTTATGAAATCCAGCTAAATGTCATCATGCTCTGATTTTATCAAGTGACATTTATCTTGTGTTCAGTCCATCAACAAATATTAAAATGCCCCCTTGAGGGTCTATAACCATGATAGTCCATGGCTTTATCTCTGTGTGGCACAATACACCCAACCCTACACTCATGAAGCACATACTTAAAACAACTCACTTCTTCAAAGATACCCTCTGGCTTTGTACCTTATAAAACGCAATTGAATTTATGTGGCCTATTTCTTCCAGTTTTTAGAGTTATGCTCTTTAAAAATTACAATCGCAATAATATAAAGATGCACTGTATTTGGATATTCATACTAAACTATTACTGAGTTGATTAAAATATTCAATGTTTTTAGTTTGTTAACTTAAATGACAAGAAAATACTCACCTTGACAATACCCCGGATGTGCATTTTCGCTATCATCTCTGCAGTATAGAGAAACATCAGTAAAGTGTCCAAGGTGAAGGTCACATACTGAAGAGGAGGATAGTGCTCGAAGGTCATGGGTGTGTTCATGCACACAGAGATGACACTGATGATAGCACAGATGCGGAGCAACGAGTGCACCCACTGCAACGAAAGCCAACGCTGCTTCATGACACTGAACTGAGACCTTTGACGTGTCATAGAAAGCACACTATTTGGAAAACACACATTTAGGTTAAAATAGGCCACTAGTGCAGAGGGGAGGAAGAAGGGAACATTTACTGAGTTCATATAGCACACTCAATATTTTTACACATGTTATAGTGCCTGTTTCTCTACATGTAAACATACCAAGGTTCTGAAAATATTAATAAACATCCTGTGGTTATACATTAACAGATGCTAAACCCAAGGTTAATTTGAAGGCCATTAGATCACTCTCTAGGAATTTCTGGTTCTCTACATAATATAGCAACCTAGTCTCAATGAACCTGGGTGTGACTTTTCTTTCTTTTGGCACCACAAAACACCCAGGATTAGCAGACATGTTCTACCTATTGTTACTTCTTCAGCATCTTACACAATGGTCTTCCATAGTAGACCATAAATGATTTTTAAAATGGATTGATATAGAACACTCCTATACACTGGTTTTTAAAAATATATATCACATATTAACTCCCTACATAAAAGACACTTCTGGGCCCGTGAGACCCCTTTTGCCTTACAAGCCTGGTGATTTGAGTTCAATCCCTGGAACCCATTGTTAAAGGATATAATAAAATTCAAAAAGGTGTCTTCTGACCTCTCTCTCCACACATCTGCCTTCACGCACACACACACATACACACACATTTTAAAACATTTAAAAATAATTTCTAATATTATAATTGAGGTTATCTTTTTGCAGAGAAAACATTTTGAACATATTAAGCCTACAATCTCTTTTAAAATTAAATTTCTGTGCAATTGCAGACACAATTGATATACTGTTTAAAGATTTTAATTAACCCTAAAAATAACCATAAAATTAGAAGAAAGATATAAAAATAAATGGGTTTATATTTAATGTATTCACATACACACTTTCATTATAAAAGTAATGCCTGGGATGAAAGGGTTAATTGTATCTACATGTTAATCTCATGGAATTCATATTTCTACTGAATTACTCAGTGCACAATTTTCAAACATAACTTAAGTGGTATTTATTGACTATCATCTTAGGTATACATGTGTGTGTATCTCTCTGTGTGTGTGTGTGTGTGTGTGATTGTGTTAATGTGCTAATTTTATACTCCTGTTTAGAGGTATAGTTTAGTAATGGATCATGCAGCTCCATAAAGCAGCAAGCCTTAAGCTGAAACTGCATGACCGACAGAACTTTGGGAAGACTCAGATACTTGTACAATGATGAGTAGAGTTTATAGTATTTGCCCAAGTATAACAATATTTACATAAAAACACAATGCCAGCAATTCTATATCTTAGAAGACACATATATTTCAATGTATTTTAAGGGTTGATGTACCGAAGTTTGACAAACCCTTCAATAAATGTCAGAATGAAAATTCAACCCTATCTAGACTACTCCAATATAAAAAACCTAATTACCAGGTGATTCGAAAGAAGGGCTATTTTACAACAAATTGGCCTTGAGCTTGAAGAGTTATAATTAATCATTAGTAATTTCAGTTAGTGACTCTGGGGTTATATCTATAATTCTATCTCTCAAAGTTTTAGACAGATTTGGATGAACTGGACAAGAAAAGAATGTTAGTGAGAGGTTTATTTTCTAGTTAGTTTACTTCTCTAAATATGAATAGAAGACCAACTATGCCTCTAGAAATGCTGGTCTCTGGGGACATACAAATAGCATAATCAATGCATAACCAATTTATAGTAGAGTAAACAAGATATTATACATGACATATGCAATTGCCCCTCAATATCTGTGCTAACAGCAGATACTCAAATATGAGGGGACCTGGGAACTTTCCATTAATGGGTAAACTTTATGCGCAGCTTACAAATATTCTCTGGTATATTTTAAATCATTTTAGAATGATTGATAATACTTAAAGTTATGTAAAATCCTATTATACTGATATCTTTCTGAATGAACAAGAAGGAAAAATACATACAAGGTCATTATAGATGCAAGTTTTTTGTTCAAATATTTTAACTCTGGTCAACAGTGGGTACAGAACGGGGGAATAAATATCTGTGTGTGTTATACATGTTCACTTATATCTATAGAAAAATCTAAAATTGGATAAGTGAAGAGAAGTTCATTCTCTCCATTTGAGGAAGTGGCGAATGAGGAGGATGTAAAATCTAGATGGCCCTAATAAACAAGGAGGAGTTGCCTTAACAAAAGAAATGAGATGGAACCCCGAAGGCCAAAGCATATGAGTAAAAGATATCAGTACTGATAACTAGACAGTATATGATAGCAGAAGGTTCCAGTGAGTGATGTGAAGACACGGGAAAGGGGTGGTCACTAGACAGGAGAATGCCTGCTCACAAAGAGCTGTTGATGAAATGCCAACACATTTTAATTTACAGTGGGAGTTCCAGGGATGTTTCAATAATTATAAAACAGAAGGATGATGCCACCAGAGAGTGCAACATACAAAGACTTGTGAGTGTGCTGTGGAAGTCTTACAGGAGCAGGCAAGTGAAGCTTAAGAGGAAATCAGCCTATCTTTGTCCTGCATAGGAGCAGAGAAAGCACTGTCAGTTTGTTTCATTGTCAGTTTGTTCCGCTTCAGCACTTACAACTACAAGTTTAAGAAGCAAGTCACTCCTGCTCTACTGTATGGAGCTGAATTTTCCCAAGAATTAAGAGTGAGCTTCCTAATTCAGTCCCAACCACTATACCCTCTAACATGCAGTGATGCATGGCATAATAGTTCTTCCTCACACACTCGACATGCATGAACCTGTGAGAAACTAGGCACATGTTTGAATCGAAGTAAAGACTATTCAGGAATGGACCATATTTTGCAACTTTCTCCACCTAAGTAAATTACTACTGAACATGATACAGAAAGCATGTGAATAAGAGTAATAGCTCATTTTGGGTCAGACTGGGGGTGGAATTATCTCTACACTGTGTAATTTGAGGACAGTGTATGCAGAGCAGGAGCGGGACCAGAAGGCAGATTACAGACCTCTTACACCGTATCTTCCTATGCAAGGAATACATAGCAACACCTCATCCTTTCAATCTGAATCATTCCTAACCCAGCCACCAGCCTCTAAGACTCATTCACTTTCCACTGCAGCTCAACCATAGTTCAAAGCTAAAGGTACATACATTTTCAATTTATTAATGAAATTTCTCTTATATCAGCATGTGCTTTTCCAAACTTCAGAAAAATAACTTACTGGCTTATTAATCCAGAGTATGTCAGCATTGTCTGACAGAGATTCATCAGGACCAAAGTCAGTAACTGGCTGGGCTTCCACCCTGGAGCTTTGCTTCCTTTTGAGCATGCTGAAGTTAGTTTTGGGAGACAAGTACAAGACCAAAGTCTGGGGAAAGGAAAAGAGAAAGATTTATTAGCCACTGAAGCTACCTCCTTCCCCATCAAAAGCATTGAGTCCTTCATGCATGAGTTATGTTCTGATAAATCATACATGTGCTCTATGGTATTATATATAATAAATGCAAATATATAGACACAGAAAAAGGATGAGATAAAATGGATATTGATAAAATCCAATTTTCTCTTTCCAGTACAAAAAAATTACCTTAAGAATTTCAAGAACTGTTTAGAGACAACTGGTGTAAAACAGTTGGAACAAAATTGCTAGTCTCATAGGAAACACAAATTACTAGAAAATTCTTTGCTTTGTGGAACTGCTATCATGGCCATGATAACAGAGGTTTCTTCTCCGATTTTAATATGCCATTCACATGCTTGTCCTGTTCCAACCATAATATTAATATTATTTCTCCATTTTGTCCTCAGTAAGGATGAAGGCCACAGACAATAGGGAGTGAAATTCCACAGTCGAAGGCTGTTTTCATTTTTTAATCAGTGGCCATCTAAAGTCTCCATGCTCTTCTAAAGTCAGCTCTTCAACAACTGCACTTGAAGATGAGATGCTGTATTGCCGCCTGCTTCCACAATTGCACAAAATCTACATCCTATTATATATGTCACTGTGGACATTACTGCTAATTTCTAAAGTTAGCAGCTCTTGAAGAAGGGCCTACTATCCATCAAATGACAAGCAATTGCAGCATGATTCAAGCATTGCCAACATACAGTTCCCTGACCACCCTTCAGTCCAAAGTAACATGCCCTGTTTGATTAATACTATACCGAGCCTCGTTTATCTGTTTGTGGTTTTTCAGACAGTGTCTCACTCTATAGATCTGGCTTGCCTTGAACTCATGTAGATCTGGCTGATTTGAAATTGTGGCCACCTGCTTCTGTGTTTTCACTTCTTTGTAAAATTGTATACAGTATAACCAGCACATTGGGTTCAACACTTTACAAATGTGGACACACAGTAAGAATTGAACACATTCTAGACTTAAGGAGGATCAGATGGGATTGAGTCTTAAAGAGAAAAACACATGTGATGAGCTTTAGACAAGGATTGCTTAGCGCAGTTAGTACTGACATTTTATTTACCCTGGAAACTGACTTGCCAGGAAAAACACCTTTCTGTTTGTTTCTTAGTTGCCGCTTTTTAAGTTTTTGTTAAAGATTGCATCTTGCTACACAGCCCTGCTTATTTAGAATTTACTATGTAAACAAGGTTGGCCAGAGAGGATCAATGATCCTGATCCTGTTGTCTCTGTCTCTCAAGTACTGGAGTCTTAGAGTTTACCAAAGAAATGCCTTAAGGTTTTGAGTATGTAAAAGACATTCCAGGCTTGAGTTGGGTGACAACTTGACTAGTGCTGTCTAAGCAAACGAAGATTGGAAACAAGTTCATAATTACTAAGCCGCAACTGTTGAGAGCTGGGCCTGGGTGTGCTTAGCATTCTTAGGAGGACAACTGCAGGCAGACGACAAAGGATAAGGAGATAGCAATGGGAACTGCAAGTCAGAAAAATGTAGCCATTTCAATACCAGGAAAACCCACTCAACCCCTCTCCTCCCTGGGTCTCCAAGGTACCCTTGGTGCTTGAAGAAAATCCATCAAGGACAGTGAGTAACGTTTAGCTCCCCTTAGACAGAAGAACAAAAATGTGTTTGTAAGGAGTGTAACTATATCCACTTGCAATTTTCACTGGAAAAGAAAATAAAATACAGTTTAGAAATTTTGAATATGATTCTCTGTGTTTCGGTGTCCACTTCCGTGTCCTTTTTGCCATATGAGTCTCAATCCATGTGAGGCTCTAAAACTAACCTTCCTGTTCCCAGAGAAAATCAAACTACTTTATCTTTAAAGTGTGCAATGTATTTCCAAACTGTTGTTACTTTGAATACAGAATTTAAATATGGGCTTTGCTGTAGGTTTCACTAATTAATTTTATTTTACATAATTGAAGTTAGGGACTCTTTGTTATAACTTGCTTTCCTGGTCTGTCGACAACCCGGGTATCCTGTCCCTTTAAGAGAAAAGCCTAGCCCACTCCCAATCCCCTCTTCTGACAAGGCAAGCAGATCTCTGGCCTCCTCTCCAGCCTGCTCTATTTCTGTCCCTCTTCTGAAGAGGTAACTACTGCCTCTCTCCCCACATCCCCCCTTCATTTTCCCTTCCCCTCTTCCCCCTTCCCTTTCCCCTCCATAACCCACTAAATAAACCCTATACCCCAACTCTCTCTGCATGGCATATCTAACTGACTGCGGTCTCCCACCCACCAAAGGGACTTGTTGAGGCCTTGGGTGACCTGCTGCTGCCCCTCGTAGGACCACTGCCCCTCGTGATACTGGTCCCCCACCACCTGTTTAAAAATAATAACATTGGTGCTGTGAACTCGGCAGGCTATCCCTTGCAGCTGGAGACTGCTAGGGATACTGTAATATTCCAACTCTTCTTCTGTATGCTCTCTTCCAACTTAAACCCTCTGGAATTCTACACTCAACATGAAATGGTAGGTTCTTGCCACATACCTGCCCATGCCTCCATGAGTATGCAATTGCTCAGCAGTGGTTCCTCTATGTAAAAATTGCCCAGTGCTGGTCAACCACTTGTCCATTGGGCTTAAGGCACCTTGCTCGGGCCTCTGACTCCACATGATGATGTAGGGGTTCGGTTTGTGCCCACCCGTTCTCACGGCCCCTGGACTTTGAGTGACGACCCAAAGTTCACCTTGAGCTGCGGTCCATGCTGAACTTGCAGGACGCTGGAGTTTGCTCTCTGGGAGTTCGCTCTCTGGATCTTCTCACCTTACTCATGGAGACTGTGCCCACCCGACCTCAGATATCAAGCTACATAGCTGTCTATTACCAGCTTATATTCTGCCAGTGATTGTTAGTTGGAAATGCAGCCTACTCTCCTGTCACTGCCGGGCCCTGCTCCACCTCGTGGTTTGGCTTCAGTTCCGGGCTTGGTGGTGTAACAGGCACTCTGTCCTGCCATCCTTTCTCTCACTATGCTGCCTCCCACCACAGCTGCAGAATCTGTCTCTCTTCCATTCACAAATCCCTCTTTCTACCACTGTTGTGCTGCGGGCAAAAATCCTAAACCTGGACCATCTACCAGCCCACTTCCCAATTTTCTGTCAGTCTGCTGGGACAATTGGTAAGACTGCTCCCTGTTGACCTAGTGCCTCTCCCGTGACTGCCCTTTCTCAGGCTCAGGGTCCCTCTGATCTATGGATCCTTTTCGGGATACTATTCTTCCCTTCCGGTCTAGAGCCTCTTAGATAGATAATGGTGTGAGCGAGTTGTTTATTTTTCTGCCTCACCCATGGGAAACAGGCTAACATGTCTAACTTCTACCTGTGGACAACTAACTATAGAGAGTTACATCATGTGGATGACCACGGCGGCCACCATTTTCTTTGAGCTTCACAAAGAAAGGAGCCAGAGCTTCTGACCCTAGCCAAAGAGTGCCAGCAGCAGGCTCTCTCCATGAGGTGCCCCTACCCCCCAGCCAGCTTCTTCTCACTTTTCATTTAACTTTATGTGGAACTTAAACTCAACTGTGTGTAAATGTATGTATACTTACTGTTAAATGTTTTAAGTTTATTATATCTCATTCCAGACTAAGAAAGCAATAAATCTCATATTTTAAGTTGGTATATACTTTTAAATCTCTTACAAAAATACTGTGTATATAAAGGTGTTGTCCATTATTGTCAGTTCTACCATTAAGCTTCTATTGCAAACAGTTTTTTCTTTGTCTTTTACAAGTATAAATCTTACCTGTTATGTAGAGAGTCAGTAGAGTCAACCTTGGACCCAGCTTTCCAGGCAGATCCTATGCTGTAATTATACCTTATCTATGCCTGATAAATAGCCCTCAACTTCTCAGAGATCTCAGGAATATGGCATTTAAATGTTTAATTATTAAAAGACTTTTCATAACAGAGAGACAGGTTGGCTCCTAGCAGCAGGACTCTATTTTCTCCAAAGAAGACAGAAATGAGGTGGCACAAAACGTCCATCTGCAATTCACTTTATCACGTGAAAGCGCTAACCACTGGGAAAAACTGCCTTTCATCTAAACTGAAGATCTCTAGACAATGGACAGAATCACTGAAATCGACAGCCTCGCTGCTCAGGTCAAGGACGGCTTGTCTTGTTACAGATTTACTAACACATAGGATCTTCTGGAGTCTGGAAGACCCTGCTTCTAACAACAGAAGACAAATACAGTCCTGATGCCCCTGTCCTCAGTGATCATGGAGGACCCTGAGGAGTGGCTCTAGGTAGTCAACTGAGCAAGTTCTTTGTTATTTTTTTAATCAATAACTCCTTAAGTAAAATTTTATCCTTCTCAAAGATCCCTAATGCAGTTTGACAGTTGAGAAGTTTTGTCAATTTAAAAGGACAACACCTTTATAAACAAATTTCAGTATAACTTCTTTATGTGTTCTAAATAAAAGATATTTTAAAATATACAAATACAAGTTATTAAAATATGTACCTGCAAGCTATAAAGGTTTGAGGATAAATTTGTAACACCAAATTTCTCTTTCATGCTGCCTTTCATAGTCTTAAAAATACTTTACACTGTGTAAAAACATCTGTCACAGTCGTTCTGACATAACTATGTTGCTGTTTAAACTTATGTTTTGTGAGTTCCAGGGAGCTGAATTAAAGGATCCACCTTAAACAGGTCAGATACACCCCTCTCAACTCCCTGGTACTAATTTTTTTTTCCCTAAATTTAACTTTGTCCTCTACTCTGCCAACACCTTGCTAGGTCCAAGAGACATGGGACAGTTGCACACCACAAACCCTGGACAGGAGTAAGGTGACCAGTTACCCCAGGATGTGACGAGCACCCAGCTTTCTCAGGCTCCCACAAGACGATGTCCACAAATAAGCAGGAAGCAGTCTTGAGAATCTGCCATCTTAATTCCCTCAACCTGCTATGCCTAAACTCCCATCTTTTTATTA